AAAAGACACCTTTACACTAAAACCTCAGGAATTCCAGATTTAAAAACGGATGATTTTTTTTATTCCGAAACCAGGAAAAATCTTTAAGAAAATCCTGACAAAAAAAAATGTCACCCCTGAAATTGTTTTGTGTGACCTGCCCTTTGAGCTGGAGTTATTATTTTTTCAAGAAATTTACAAGTACATGTACAATACATCCTTAAGCCAAGTATACATGTACTTCCCAGGGCATGCAGGGACAGTCACACAAAGATAGAACAATATATATTATTTCTTGTCCTCAAGAGTTGAAAATTGTCCTGGAATGTATTAAAGTGAGTGTGCCTAGTCTATGGGCAAGTGACCAATTCCCCCCCTCCATGCAAGGAATCAGGGCATATTTTGTCCATGTTAACACCAGGGGAATACAAATTTGGAGCTCCACTTTGCCTTAGATTGGATTTTCACACATTAGGGGAGAAATTGGCCTTGAGACAGCAAACTATGGGGTGGGGAGAGATGGTCCTGGGCAAAGGGTGTCAATGATGAGTGACTGTACAAGACAGCTGCTTGGCCCATACTGAGTAAATCTTACAAGTTGTGGTACCTAATTGCAAGTTATTATAAGGCAACATGGTTTAATGCAACACAGACAGGGAGTGAATAAAACAAATTCATGTGCAGCACTATAGTAATTTTGTGTCCCCCCAAAAGCATGGGGGGAAAAAGGAAGTGCCATTTGACTGTACATGGCACTGTTGTGTTGGTAGGCAGATCCCAAGGGGGAACCTGGGGCCATGCCCCCTGTCAATTATTGTTGGGGTTTTTTTTTGTAATCCAGAAGACAATTAAACACAACTTGTTTAAAACATTGCTAAATATATTCATCCTCTTTCCCTACAGCTACAGATTTGTGAAATATTAATAGACATTAAGAATGAGCCTCTAGCATCAAATGACGCACACCCCCCTTCCCCTTTTCAAATTTGAAAAAGCCAGCCTGCCACTCCCCTCTCTTAAAAATTATAAATAAATGAAATATTTATAGACAGGAAGATTGAAGCCTCTAGCATCAAATGATGCACTTCCCCCCTTTTCAAATTTGCAATAGCCAGCCGGCCACTCCCCTCCCCCCCCCCCCAAAAAAAGTGGTTGTGCATCCACCTTTGGTCCCCCATTTCGCCCAGGCAAATTATGCTTTTATAGTGAAATGATTACACACTTGTCAACTTAAAATCAAAGAAAAAGTAGTAGAACAGTGAGCAATAAAGGTAAGGCCAAATAAAAAAATAAGTCGGTCTCTGGTCAGCGCGCGTCGATTTTAATCATGCGCGTCGATCTTTTTTTTTTTTCCAAAATGTTCCGCGGTAGCTCCAACAGCACCCTCTATTTCCGCACCTCCTCAATTTTTTTTACCAAAGAGCACCAAGGAATGGGAAATTGCACCAAGGCAAATGATGGAAAGCACCAAGGCAAATTATGGAGGACACCAACGTACATGAGGACACCAAAAAAGCAAAATAGTACCCACCTTGTCTGTACAATCCAAGCTTGAAGAAAAAAAAAAAAAAAAAAAAAAAAGCCGCGTGGCCTTGTCAATTCCAGAACTTTGGTCTGACCAGAGACCGAATATTTTTTTTTTTGGCCTTAAGTGTATATTGTACATTCCATGCATGATTTGTACTACTACTGCTAAAACATCCAGGGTACATGTACAGTGTACATGTATAACTACATTAAATATTTGGCATTTTGTAATGTCCATAACTGTTACTACCGATGTCAATACCCATTATAACTGATGTCCTTACGAGCATTCCGCATTCAATTGATAACCCAGTCTCAAGGAAGAAGGATGCGTGCTCTTAGCCCTACTCTATCATCGTACCCATCTGACTTGACTCAGTTCTGTTTGGCCAGTCAGGACATTCCCAAAGATTTGCTTTCGATCAAGTCTCAAGGAAGGTTGACATTTGATGATGCTAAGTAACCAGGCCAGCCTCCTTGTCTGAGAAGGGCGCAGTGAGAGCTCATCACCAACTCCGCTATGTCATGCACACCCGCAAGGACAGGTAATGTCCGTTTTTATAATCTTCATTGGCTTACAGGCGTCCTCGAAATCTACGGGACTTGATTGTTCGAGCTGAAGTCCCATCCTTAGATGCATCCCCTCCCACCTAGCATGGTACTTTCAAGTGCAGTTCCAGATGTGTTGTCTGCCAGATTCATATCCAGGAGTCTGACTCCTTTTCTGGCCACTCTTCTGTCACTACCCACAGAACCATTGGCAACATCACTTGTAACACCTCTAATGTCATATATCTCATATACCTGGTCTTCCTTGTTTGTGTTTACCCATCTTCCCCCATCTTTCATCCCTTTCCACCTCCATACTATCCCCCCCCCCCCAATCATCCCCCTTCACTCTCACACTCTTTTGTCCGTTCCCACTCCCTGTGACCTTTGATCCTTCCCCTTTCTGGTCCCTCCCCTGTTTATACCAGACCCCTTGCGGTTTGCCATCTCCCTTTGTTTCTTTGTTCTCTCATCCACCCTCCCCTGCATCTTTCCACACCTTTCACACCTACATTGTAATCCTCCTTTCGTGTTTCTTCTTTCAGCCCTACATGTTTGTGTGCACCCCCTTGTTAATGTATGTACCTCTGTCATTTCTGTTTTAGCCTCTGAAGAAGAACTTGCTAAGTTCGCAACGTCAGGCCACATTAATTTTTAGATTTTTATAATCTTCAAGCAGTTTAATCCTTTTGCCAGCTCGCAAAACATCAAAAGGTTTACTGGCTGTGATGTTTCTGTCAATGCTTCATGGTCGTAACTACTTTGAGTGTGTGTCACCTGGATCACTTTCACATCCCAGACAAAATCCAGTCTATAGACCTCATGCAACAATATTAAGCTATCACTTCCAAAAAGGGGCAAATTATGGGAGATGGTATCCAACAAAACGGCCGCCTAATACCTTAAATGTCTCAAAGTGATGGTAAACAGGGAGGCCCATGGGATGACATTTCACTGCACAGGGAAGATGAAGCAGAGAGGCAGCCCAAATAAAAACAGCAAGTTACCTTGATGATAGGTTGAATGATGGACCATCAATGCCACATGTGACCCATAGACCCAGACAAGGTCACCGCCGAACCAGGGCCAGAGCAATGCAGACAAAAAATAGCTCCGCCAGGGGAACAAACTTCTGAAGTGATTTTCAGAGAGTGTTCTTTTTTTTTCTTCTCAAGAGTCTGGCCAAAAACTCTTAAAGTTCAAATAAGCCATCCCCGTCAGACCAAGGTCGGATTGAGAATGGATATTCCAGAGAGGTTGACAGTCTCATCAGGCAATCATTGAAAGATACGAAGCGCCATTTTTATTGAAAGAAATTTTTTTTTCTCAGGCCAAATTGCTAAGTGGGAATCAAGGATCCTCAGGACTTTTTATGAGGACATTTATGATGCACCTGTAGGAGATTGAGGTGCCTTCCTTTTTGGGGGCCTATTACCACTGACAATTATGCCAAAGAGCAGAAAATCAGAAATTATGTGGAACATATTCTCAGCTCCATTGTCCTCATTGTTATGCCTCGTTCAGATAATGCACAGATCCTATAGCCCTTTACAACACTGTCAATAAGCGCGCAATTTGGCCAGAAGTGTCTGAATGATTTTCTTTTCCAACATCAGGCTAGGCCATTTGTGTAATTAATAAACAAATCATAAAACTAGGTACTGATGTATCTGGGAAATCTTGCAGATGATCAGCATCCTGGCATGCAATTAAAGGGATTCCAAATGTGATGTATCACCAAGCATTCGCCACTATTAACCCTGACTATACTTTCAGGAAGTAGAAGACCATGTCCATCAAAATTCATCACTGATCACTCTGCTTCACATAATGCTTCAGGACCAAATCCATTGAAATCCACCACTGGTGTTGGTGGATTTTGATGGACTTGGTTCACATGGCTTATCTGCCAAAATCCCCCAAAATGGAGGATGGATTTTGATGGAGTTGGTACGGTAAGGTATATCACTCCAAGCTAACAGTCGACATAGTCCTATAGTTAATTCAAATGTCCTTCATCATCTATGCCGTTACAACACAAACTGCATTTAGAAGCTGTGGTAAAAGCAACTTTTATAATTATACACAGAAAACTATCCAAACTTAAAAACACGACCCCCCCCAAAAAAAAAGTTTTTTTAAACACTGAGTAAGTGTAAGATGATTAGCATTTGACAAGTACGTTAACTTGTTTCCTCATACTGCAATTAAAGAAGGATTTTCAGTATTTTGACTTGTGCTGAGTGGATAGAGCATGGTGACCAATGATCCTGAAGCCACTGAGGTGCCACATTGGGAGACCAAACTACGGTATATTAAGTGTAGGTCTAATCTTGACCCTGATCCGACTAACGCACTGTACTGTAAAGACCTTTCTTTGGTTTGTAAATATTGAGTGCCATATTAACCAGTTCGCACCGGGATTATTTTGACATTGACCGGACCCAGGCGTGGGATTGTTTTCATGAACCTCGATGCCAGATGGGTTCATGCCGTCATCTGCAGTTAGCACACCCTTTCCGGCCTCGTTCGCTGCGACTACGAGCGGGTCGCTGACAGATATTTCCGGCCTCGCTTGTTGCATGTTTATCCGTCATCCGTTCTGAATACCACAAAACCTTTGACTGTAAACACTTCATCTGACGTGCTCTGGTCAACACCCTCACTATGTAGTAAAGCGGTCTTTGGTTGTGTTTGTTTGTTATTTGGTATTTTCAACAATACAATGATATATTTATGTTGTGTATTTTTGCAACATTGGCCTGTTGGCAAAAAAGTACCACCAACCATGGGTGAGCAAAGGAAGGTCTATACTGCAGCTTAATGCAGCACGGCAGAGGCCATATTGGGAGGCCAAACAGTGACTCACACCAGCTTCACTTTTTTGCGCAGAGCAATGGGCAAGTGCACTGTCCAGTCAGATCACAATGTGGAATTCCACCTACCTGTGTCTTTGTGGCCTATCTTGGCGGACACCGGCCTCTGTCTGGTGTTGTTCTGGGCTCCGTACAGTGACACAGCCGCTAAACTGGCTGATGATGGTCGCAGTCCCCCGCTAGGGGTGGACTGGGGCCGTCGATGAGTGGTGGTGGTGGTAGCATCCCCAGCTCCTGTGACAGGACAAACAAATCACTCAATCAGTGGATTCATTCTTCTTTTTTATAAATTTCTTTTAAAAGTTTTTTCCATGCATGCTTTTAAATCCAGGCACTTTGCTTCACAGAAGGGGTATTCAAAAACTCGTTCTCGGGTGACCCGTGGACAGCGTTCTCAAGTTGCTGATTAAGAACGCCCAAGTGCGTGTGGAGTGCAGCTGGGCAAAAATTCAAGATGGTAGCCACTGTATTAAAGAGCCGAATGAAAAGAAGGAACAATTTTTTAAAAATAATACGGACATAATTTAAATCCCGGAATAGCCATAAAAATTGGCAAAGACAAGGCTGACGAGCCCACCCTATAACCACAGACAATTATAATTGTTATTATCACAGCTCCCGCACTGAATGAGTGCTTTCAATTTTATGCACATATAGTAAACACAAGTTGCGTTAGTGGCCTAGACTAAGTCCGCCATCTTTGTTCTTAACGTTCTTCATCTACTCCCCAATAAGTGGGGAGTGAAAATCTTGTTCGCAATAAACAAACACTATAAACAAGTAACAGCCAAGTTTTTGATGAGGTACCATCCCCCCCCCCCCCTGAAAAAACAACTGTAGGTTTTGCTCCTCCTCCCAACTAGCCTTTCGCCAAGTCCATCGTGGCTTAACTTGTTGGCATTAGACAAAGTGGCGAAGCGACTGGAGTGAGAGACCACACACGCGAGTGGCGAAGCCACGAGGCCTTTTCCAACTTGTCAAGAATTCCGTACGTTTTCATTATAATCTCAATAAAAGGGTAGCAAAATTCCAACCAATCATTTAGGTGCGCATGCCTACTACCCGGGCGGGCGCGCATGACGCGCGCCCCGGATGCTGGCACAACATTTTAAAACAAAAAAAATGCGAGTCTAGTTCTCCACGAGATCGTGACGGCGTAATTGTTCTTTCATTATCTTATTTTACTTTTACTTATAAAAATATTTGAAGAAATTATTTGCGTACGTACAAATGTATGAACGTATTTTTTATCTAAACTTATAGTTATTTCCTCTTACGTTTTCCATCACTCACCCTTCTTTCACAAATGGACGCAACTACGCAAAATCCACGTTGTGATTGGTTAAAGGGAAAATACAACATTTGCAAACATCAAAAAATAAAACTACCAAATCGTTTTGACATACCTTGCTGGACTTTTAGTGAATGACAGTGTAAAGCATCCTGTAAAATCATGGCACCTGGTATACTGTCATTTTCAAGAAAAGTTGTATTTTTGTATCAATTTCCAACGCTGATCGGCCGATCAGCGTTGGAAAAAACTTGTTTTTTCCTTCAAATACTGGCCCCAGTTGACCATCGCACTTGTTTGCAATCGATTACACACCTACCGTATGAACGGGTACAAGCCAGCTAGACTGGCCTTACAATTCCCCAATATATGTAAACTGCTCTGTTTCTTCTTAAATGGAGTCAGGGAACCAGACTACAGGAAAATGATTGTTTTTCTTGGTTTTTATAGCATTTTCGAACCCAAAACCTCAAAAAAGTCAGTGTAACTATATTTGCTATATATTTCCAACCCCCCAATTCCATCCATTTCTGAAAATTACAGCAAAAGCAAATGATGTATATTCCCTTTAACCTTTCAGCACTGTACTTATTTGCATAAAAAAATATGAATAATTCAACAAAATCGAGTTAGAAAAGGCTACCTCCAGACAGACATGTGCATGTACATATGATTTCCATGATGGCATTCTAACCCAATTATGTGACCCATATACTATGAACCAGGATGTACTGTCCAACATTTGGAAATGGTGTTCATCTTGATTACAGACAACATATCCTTTATCAGACTTGTTGTCAAAAAGTCAATTCAGACAAGTGCAGGAAAACTGTTGAATGTAATACAAAATTACCAGTACAACTTCTATTTACCCAACTTAATCAAATCCCAGTCCCTGCATGCACATGTTTGGGAAAAACAGAAAAGCTCATACTTTTAACTAAATTCAACGGAGCGAGTGATTTTCAGTGAAACACAAACTGTCAAAATCCAACACCTAGGGGCCTATACATTGTACTTTTGGGCATGATTTTGATGGATTTGAAGCTGGGTTTAGTTTGCCCACAGCTCACCAGTGTGGACTGATACAGCACACCGCCCAGGGTATAGTGTAGTGTGTGGTATGGCACTTATTGGGGGGGGGGGGGGGGGGTACTCTGTGCATTCTGGGCCCCAATATGCTTACATGTATGTCCATACATGTGGAGGCCAGAAAATGATAATTACCATTACAGTAGCTAGTAAATATTGGGGGCGCTGACAGACAAAACACAACTGTCTAGCGACTTGTCCTCTTACTTTCACCCACTGAATGTGCAGATTTTAGATTAGATTTTTAGAATTACCTTGCTTTCAAACAACCTACGGTACATGTATTGTTGTATGTCATGTATGTGGAAAGATTTCCATATACGAAGTTCACTAATTTTCCTCTATATTGACTAACAAGCCCCCAGATAGCAATTTCATGTCATCAAAGTCAATTTAAGCAGTGAGAAAATACAAGCATTTTCTTAGAAAACACTTAGAATTTTTCAGTCCAATCTCATAGGGTTTGTACACAGGGTGTTGAGTGAACTTCGTAATATGGAAATCTATGCATGTACATGTACATGTATGTACATGTATATGCATCCATGAAGTATCGGACAAGGAATTAAATGTGCATTTCTGCCCATTACTGGATACCTCCAGCAGCCCCAGACTTACCCACAGTCGGAAATCAAATCTGGCATGCGATACAATTTAAATACCAATGTGTCATGGCCAATCAGAGATGCCGGCAAATTTACGACACCGAGAGCATGCCAGCAAATAGTGCCAATTACTGAATGCAGATACATGTATGTACAGGGTGGCGGTGGAGGCTTGAGGAATCCCCAGGGGAGTCTGGGGACTATACCTGACCACATTATGCCCATGCTGATGCAGGTTCCGTTCTCACCACTTCCTGGCACACTGATATTTGGCATGTGGTGGTGGTACCAGTCCAAAATTTGGACTTTGTGATAATAGTCAAGTTTATCTCAGATGACCTCCATTGAAAAAAAATATCACCTTTTTAAAAAAAAATAATAAAAATATTTTAAAAACCACAATTAAAAGGAAGGAAACTGTCATAACTGTTGTCATAACCTGCATATAATCCTGAAAAACACCAGTTTTATTCTTAGTTTACTGTGTATGTGTTTTTTTGTGTTTTGTTTTTTTACCTATAGGCCTACACGTACGTTTTGTTCAAACATTTGCTAACATACAGTACATTATCCATGTACAATGCCTGAGAAAATTCGCCGTCATCTGTGTGGAAGGTCATTGATCACATGACATTGAATTATTCGCTTCAACCCATGGCCTGGCCAGACCGCAAAAAAAAAATACTTGAAAGGTTAAACTACAAGTGATGTAATTTATTTCTTGAACAGTGAGTTAAATCCTTTATTTTTTTTTGACTTATTGAAAAATGGCGTTTTCGCCCCTCTGGTATTAATAATGCCATATCCTTCATCATACCTGGGGGCACTGGTTTGCAAAGTCTGGCCTGTCTGTTACTTCTTGTAAATAACCACCCCAACCCCCCCCCCCCCCCCCCCCCCCCCCCACCCTCAACAAAAAGGGAAGAAAAACCCGGAAACTGTGATTACTTGAAAAGGAGTCTGCAAACAACTACAAACGAACAGACTCATAAATTGAAACTTCAAAGGAAACTGCACCTCACCCAACATGTAAACACTGCCATCATTACACAGTATCAGCTTGTTCTCAACAGCAGGTTGCAATCACCAGTGTCCCTACACACACCTGCTAGCCATTACACTCAAAACACAATTGGTCATGGTTAATTTGCGGTAGGTGTATACAAACATAACATGTGTTTTCAGTTAAGATCTCGCAGGTGGGTATAAGCATGGAGGATAAGGAACCTCAGGTTGAGTGGAAGTTGAGAGCGGTACATTAACATCAAAGCTTCTTTTATTCAATTGTTTCCCAGATTTTGGCGATTTCAAAAATTCAGTGCTGAGGTGTACCATACATGTAACATAACACGGTGAGAGCACTATGATACTGATAGATTATAACACCTCACCCACAGATTCTGTGTCTTGATTGGCCGAGAGCGAGTCACATGTTACTTTCTAATTTTGCTATCTTTCTGTGCACGGCCAAAAGTACTATACCCATAGCAACCAAAGTACTATACCATTAGCAACCAAAGTACTATTTCCACGGCGCAGTATTTGTGTGCAAATGGATGCTGGTGTGCGCGTTGCGCGTAGCTCGTATTGTTCCAAAGAGAGCGCGCCGCAGACTTGGGTTCAAACATTTCGTGAAGGGGTAGTTTGAAAGAAATTTTGTATTGAAATTGAAGTTTATTTCAACTGTGTTCAGATTTAGATAATTAAAAATATTTAAATCAAGCAGAATCTGTGGGTGAAGTGTTATAAAACAAATATTGAATGCTTTATCTCGTGGTGAAGTAAAACTAGCCTCCCTCGGTGATCCATGGACCATTCTATTTTCCCTCGGCTTCACCTCGGGAAAATAGAATGTCCATGGATCACCTCGGGAGGCTAGTTTTACTACACCACTCAAAGCATTCAATATTTGTATATTATATAACACCAAAGTAAACCCTTGTCATTTGATTGGAGGATTGTAGGTCACACAGCATCCATTAATCGAACCATTGCACGGCCTACGTCATAACCGTGCATTTTTGGTTCCATTCACCGTGCATTTTCGTCCCATCCCTTTTGATCTATTGCACGCCGCGCGCACGCTACGACGCGCAGCGGCCTGGCACTACTACCGGTACCTTTGCGCTATTACCGGTAGCATGTTAGCAGTACAAAACTTGCCTTCAAAGTTGATGCAGTTGCCTTGATGATTTTTTTTCCATTGATTGCTTTGATAACTTTCAATGTTAATTTTCATTATTGTC